TGTGTGTGTGTGTGTGTGTGTGTGTGTGTGTGTGTGTGTGTGTGTGTAATGCTGTGCACTCAGCTGTGCAAGCTGCCTGGGAAATGTGCCGAGTTGACAGAAAGACAGCAGCGCGTGTACCCTCTTATGTGTGTTTGTGTTCGTGTGCATTTGTATGTGTGTGTGTGTGTGTGTGTTCAACAAGCTGCAGTTGCTTCAGTCAAACTCTTGTTATATTTATAACAAGAGATAGCAGCTTCAGTCTTAACATGCTTGTCGCCCCGCTGCTGCTGCTGCTGCTGCTGCTGCTGCTGCTGCTGCCGCATGTTTCTCTGTTCATCCTGTCACCAGAGCACCTGGGATCTCTTCATCTCACATTTGACCTTGGTACAATGTGAAAACCAGGTTGCACCAGCTGTGTTGCACACTTCTCCCTGTACTGTGTGACCGACACAATTATTCCTCTGTAGTCCTTTAAAGCTGCATTAACTCATTTTCTTTGCCACTAGGGGGCAGAAACACGCTGACGTCAATACAACCCAAGCTAATGATTGCCTAATAAAAGTGATATGGTCAACCTGTGACCTAACAATTGCTTACTTACACAGTTTTGCAGACACAGGGCAATATAATCATCACATTGGAGTCTGGAGTGTTTTTTAGCCACCAAATTACAAGCCCAACATTCACTCTCCTTTTTTGCTCTGTTTTGGTCTCCTTTAACTCCTGGAGAAGAAAACATCTGGCAATTTAGTTAGATGTCCACGTTTCTTCCCCAGATTGCTGTTGTCTAATATTTGGTGCTGTTTATCAGACTTAACTGTTAAAAACAGCTGCCTGCTGCTGCTGAAGACAGAGGGATGAAGGCAGTGACCCATTCCAGTAATAGCGCCGGTAAAAAGAAAAGAAAGATAAGCTAAAAGAGGCTAAAAAGCATCATAAAGCTGCAAAGATGGGCAGTTTTTGTCTGTTGATTTATGAGGACAAGCAACTCCTCTTACATAGCACATAGAGTAGTCATTTTATCTATTGGTTAATTTTTAAATATTGATGCAGCTTGCACATAAAAAGACTGCTGCCTTGGTTGAAGTCCCAACCCTTAAGTGCACAAAGCTCCTGTTGCACCAGAATAAAAAACAACAACATTTAAGAGCATCTATAAATCTGTTCAGAAATGCTGGCCAAGTATTTCGTCAATGCTTGATCATTTATATTAAATATTTGACCCAATGTTTCCCACTCTCACCAACTCTGTATTGTGTTTTGTGTATCCAGGATTATGCAGCTCGTGGGAACCATTTAGAGTCAATGCAGCTTCGCAATATTGTTGAAATCTTGGAGAGTGACTCACAGCTGCTAATTTGAGTACAGTAATAAACAGAAAACACCACTGCATGTATGCTGGTGACACAATATCAAAATCAAATATCAGCTGTCTTCGTCTTTTGCACACAAAAAAATATATGAGAACATCTTTATATGGGAAGTGGGAAATTTCGCATTTTCACTTTAAGATTGTGTTTATTTAACCACTGAGTCATCAGAAATCAGAATGTGTACGTGTGTGTGTGTGTGTGTGTGTGTGTGTGTGTGTGTGTGTGCGTGTGCGTGTGGGAGGGTGACTAACCTTTGTCATGATGATGGAATCGTAGACTAAGTGCTTCTCTTCTACTGTGACCATATGATCTCTCCAGCTCTGCAGCCGAAAAATCATCCAATTTGACTTTCTTCACCAAGAAAGAGCGAGGCATGATGGGACAGTAGTTGCTCCGACACTTATACAATAAACAAGCACACTTCTTCTGTCTTCCAACCCACTTCAGGCCTTACAAAAATCTATAGTTGAAATGCCTGATTTTAATGACAGTGTGGGCTACTCCCTGGTTTCAGCTACTATGTGCGTTCGCTCCCTCCAATCAAACAGCCTTGAAAGTGGAGAGACATGGCTTTTAAAGATCAGACAAACCAAGTGCTCCTCAGTTCCTTATGATTTGGCATACCTGCATTTAGCCTATCTTACAAATACAGACTGATTTGTTTGGTCTTGGTAAAGAAATTGTCTGTTTTCCTCTGACAAAAGATCAAAAATAAAAAATAATAATAAATCAGTTCCTGTATTGACTATTGCTCGAAGACAAAACGTCGCTCTTCTCTTGCTATTTGTTTTATTCCGTTGCTTCAAAAGGAAAAACGACCGTTTTTCAAACCGTTGTTCTTCAGCACGCGGAGAACTCCAGTCAACCAGTTCTTTGCGTGCACCTTTTGCCAGTCTCGTGGTTTCAGCACCGGACAGCTCCCCTCGACGACAGCCCGTTCTCTCTCCTTTCTCCGCGTGCCACAACACAGCCCACCGCCACTGAACGGACGTGCAGAGACAGCACCAGAGAGAGAAGAGAGAATAAAAGTTTCCACCGGTTTGGAATGAGCTCAGTCAGAAGACACACTCCGGTGGAATTTCCCACGCAGGTGAGTCAACTCAATATATATATATTTCTTTCGAGAACAAACCGATAGATGTGCCGGTGCCTTCAAAAGAAGTAGAAAGGTAACGAAAAATGTCAAAATGTCACCACAGTTCCTTACAAATGTTGCTAAAAAAAACTACAGTTGGAAGACCAGAACAGCTCATCCCTCCGTCGCGAACTCTACACTCCTCTCCACCTCTCTCTCTCTCTCTCTCTCTTCCTCTCTCCTTAGCGCGTGCAGAGCTGCGGCTCTTTCTGGTGCACGAGATCAGCTGTTGCAGCTTTATAGGCAAGCGAGAGAGAGAAAGAGAGAGAGACAGAGAGAGAGGGAGAGAGAGATGGAAGTGCTTAATATTATTCATCAGAAGAAGAAAAAAAGAGCATCTTGTCTTGTGGGACCAGCAGCGGCGCGCGGTGTCGGCCGGGGAGGGATTTAATGAGGTGGTTTAAAGTGCAGGCTGACGCATATTTTTATGGCAATAAAATATAAGTGTAGGATGTTTTTTCTTTATAAAAAAAAAGGATGCATGTGAGTGATAATATATTCAATGAAAACAGGTGCTACATCGAAAAAGTTTCAAAAATCCGCAAAATTGGCGATATTAATTATTTTGGGGTTTTATTGTTTACATTTGCCATTTATATTAATCTCTTCAAGGTAGTTTAAAATGTCTATATCGAACAGACTGGTCATGCTGTTCATGGGTCAGACAGACCACTAAGCACATGGACTCCAATGCAAATCTTTTACTAAACTGATGTGAGAAAAAAATAGATGATTGTTTGGTTTGTTAAAAGAGGTATCCTTTTCACTTAAACAAAAACTACATAGAGGTCATATGCATACTAACACAGTTACGCAGGCACTGATTTGTTAGAGAACACACCAAAAATAACAAATTACTTTTTGTAAGATATGTCAACCATTATATGAAGATACTTTTAACTGTAACCATTATGTATTTGATTTATGTTCTATGCATCATATTTACTATTGTAAATGCAAATGTCAGCTGTCGGTTTAGATTTTTAAAAATCCCCCTCCCGCCTAATGATTCTAGCCTTTCTCAAGGACCGAGAACCATCAAATCAACATGAAACACAACTTCTTGTGGCACTGAACACAGGTCAATGCTTTTACACTGCAGTCAACCAATTGAACTCCCAGTATGCAAATCAGCGTCCCCCTTGGGCCAATCAGCTCTTCTGTGCTTAAATCCAGCCTCAGCATTAGCCAATGACTTTAGTTAATGCAACTGAGGTGAAGGTGTTTTTACTGAATGGTCTTTCACAGAGAAAGAGAGAGAATGCTTTAGGACTATGAGTTACACAATGCTATTTTCTGTGTCAGAGGACAGGGGCATGGTGCAGAATGATGATGCACTGTTTTGGTGTTTGCACACTCAAACAAACAGACAGACATCTCTCTCCAGCCAGTAGACAGCGATGCACACACTCACACACTCATGCAAAGCCCTACCCCCATTCACACACATCCAGGCAAGCAGGATGATGGGGTGTGATGTAATGCAGTGACGTGTGCGTTTATGTAAGTTCTATTCAGTAAGGTCCTTGGAGTTAACCTATTTTTATACTTCATTGATAAATGTTTGAGCGAGACGGAGGGAGTACGTCTATGTGTGTGTGTCTTTTTTCAGACTTGTGCGTTTGTGGGTCTGTGTTGAGTGCATTGCTTTTATCAGTCTGTTGGTCTCCTTGGTCGTCACTTAGTGTTGCTGCTTTATTCATGTGTTGATGCACTGAAGGGGTTTCGTTTCTAGTCTCAGATGGACTGTATAATATTAGATACAGGCACTAACAGTATATGTTTGGGCATGTGGTCTGGGGCTCTAAAACAGCTCAAAAAGGTAAGGGGTTTTCTGAATGAGACCAGTGCATCACATTTCTATTGAATGATTTGTAGTTCAACATGTCCTATTGTTAACCCTGTTTATCCTGTGTAACAGCTCTGCACTCCAATGAAGCTTTCATCCCCTTTTAGTGGTTTTTAGCTTCATGGTTTTGGTTGTCCTTCCCACACAGAAACTGTACAGTCAAGTCTCACTGCTTCCATCAACCCTCGCCATTCGCTACATGCACAGCACGAAAAGGCGATACTACGAAGAACGACAGCATCAGTTGTTTCATCCCTAAACGACATATACGCTGAAGGGACAAAGCCCTCTGGCGACGAGATCAGAGGAGGGAGTCAGGTGACATTATCACTAAGTCGGGTTGGCTGGATAGGTCAACTAAACATTTCAGACAGGCGCTTCTTTCACGGTTCCAACCGACTTTTAAAAAAATCAGAACACAATCGTTCCACAATCCTAACCACGTGTTTATTGTTGAAACCCTGACAACAAAGATCCCCTAACCTTAACAAAGTAGTCACGTCATGTGTCACGTCCACAGGAGCAACAAGGTAGATATTGAAAGGTATCTGTCGGCGGGGGTTGAGTGTAATTCTCTCAATGATTGTCTTCCTGTGCCGATCAATGACACACCGTGAAATACCAGTTCTATGTGGTCTATTTCTATGATGGTGAAATTGTCCACTCCTCCTTATTTTTCCTGCTAGCCTGCGAGTGCAGCTATACTGCTGAGCAAAGCGAAATTTATATGTGTGTGTGTGTGTGTGTGTGTGTGTGTGTTAGATTGTGTGGGGACATGTGGAGACTGGAGACTTATTAGCATAATAATAGACTTGCATGCATGTAGACAGCCAGGCGGTGTGTGAGCATGTGTGTGTGTGTGTGTGTGTGTGTGAGAGAGAGAGAGAGAGAGTCCTGTCAGGAAACACAATCGAAGGGTCCTTGTTGACTTTTCATTCCTCTGTCTTTTAAAGAGCTATTAAAATGACAGGGTTTTAAATAAAACGCCATTCAAATAGAAGGGTTTTTACATATAAAGCAATGCAGATGAAAGGGTTTGTAAACAAAAACTGACAGAGAGAGACACAGAGCAGGAGGGAGGATAGAAAACAGAAGCAGGGGGGGAAGACAGACAGAAAAGCAAAGAGAGGGAGCGAAACAGAGGAAAATAAAGAGGACAAAACACTTATAGAGGACAAATGGAAGGTCAAACAGGGTTTTAAATGTAAGGAGAGAGAGAGAGAGAGAGCAAGAGCGAGAGCGCGAGAGAGAGAGAGAGAGAGAGAGAGAGAGAGAGAGAGAGAGAGAGAGAAAAGCAGCTCACAGTAACATAACTGTCACGGTAGATAGATAAAGGTAGTAATGGATGACCATGACCAGAGACCCGTTCATTTTCATTCTAATTTTACATCTGCTTGTCTCGTACTTACTCCACAGTGAGTCAGTTAATGTTGATATGGTATTGATGGTGTTTTTCACGGAATTGTTATAATGGGGACACATTTTAGAAAAAAAAAAGAAGTGGTCTGTTCAGTTTCTCAAACCTAAATGTGTAAACCATAAACTACAAAGGACCATTACAAAAAAGACTGTCTCGACGCTCCTTGTCATAGATTCTAAAAGTCTCTAGGACGGCATTTTCACAAAAGATATTCCGTCATCTTTAAGTTTTAACGACGGTAATGTGGATCGCTGGGCTGCAGGCAAACACGCTCAAAATAGTTCAGATACGTTCTTGTGGCTGTTTCCGTTACACCTGTACAGATTGTGAGTACAATGTCTACCTGCTTTTTTTCTTTTCCACTTCAAAGGTGCATCCAAAGGAGCTGGTTTAGACCTATCACCTTGTTTGACCTTCATGTCCGTACGACGCTTTCTTGAGATTTAGGAGGAGTGCACGTCGGCTCTTCTGTGACCTCTCCGTTGTCCATAACACCCTTCAGAGACATTTGCTTGCATCTTCAGAGAACATCCCCCAAGGGGTCCAAAGATAAATCTCACAAGATGATTAAGGGGATAGATTTCTTTGAAGACACTAGTTTGTTTTAAGAGGTTTCAAGCCAAAAGATTTAAGAACAATTGCCTTTATTCAAAGTAATGTAATTCAGTGTAATCGTATGCAATAGAAGACAACTCAGTAAAATAGTGGCCATGAATACGTCATGTCCAGTGCATTAACATTTGAAAAGTGCAGGACGTGACAAAACTAAATACAATAGAAGAGCACACAGCTGGCTATAATAAAACCAAACAGAGACCAAAAGAACAGAATATCACCAGTAAACCCGTAATGTCCATGCCATTAAGATACATATATGACTCTGCATGTGTGCTATGAATATGTATGTTGTATGTATAAGATGTGACCCTGGACATTAATATGTATTGGGCGGTAATGAGGCGAATGGGCAGATCAGATGGGTCCTCCTAACTGGTCACATGTGGCTCATTAGGAAAGGGCCACACAGAGCACCTGATACCCTCAAGATGACTACTGCACCCCAAGAATGATCTATTAAACATATTGGTTTTATAAGGCGAGGCAGAGAAACAGTCGAGATGAAAGACAACAATCTACATTTGGATCTGAACTAATATGACAGATATGTGATAACTAACTACTCTGGCAGGAGGGGTACAAGGATGTAGAGTGAGGTTCAAATGGCAGTGATAGTGTCTGGTGTAAGACTTTCAAGACTCTACCAAATGCTCCTGTAGTTGACCCTGACCTCTGACCTATTTGTGGACATGGGAAACTAAAAAAATGTACTTGTCCAGCAGGAATCATCATCACACATCACCACTATAACCCTGGACCGGAGGTGATGTTACTGTAGAGAAGGGACAGTGTACCTTCATCAGCACTGGAAATAAGATAAATTTTTGTGGTCAAATACTCTGATCATATTTGCAATAACTGCTGAAATCTAAATGTATACCAGGAGAGAGGTGGAGAGAGAGAGCAGCAGGACGCATTGTTGAGTCCATATTAACTAGGCACATGTGTGTCATTATAGTAGGTTGAAATAAGACAGCTGATACCCATGTGGGGACTGTGGGGTTATAGAGTCATATCTCTGTGCACATTGCCATGTGTTTCCTTTTCTAACAGCAGAACTCAAGTACGTCACAAATGACCAGATGTTAGTGGTGTTGTACGTTGAATCTGTTTAGCTTGATTTTAGGACTTTTAGATGGTCACGCACGCAGACGAGCAGAGGAAGTATAAATGTCATAAAAGTCAGACATGTAATTAGGTCCTAATAAATGGAGCCACCAGATACCCAACAACCTTAATCAAGTGATACGATGTGTATCACTTGATGTATACTGCAAATGTATCAACCATTTCCAGTAAATGTTTAA